ATATATATATATATATATATATATATATATATATATATATATATATACATAAAGTAATATAGTATATATACATATATATGTATATATTCATATAAATATGTATATACATGTATATACATATACACATACATACATATATATGTACATATATACACATATATGTATATATGTATATGTATATGTATATATATATATATATATATATATATATATATATATATATATATATATATATATATATATATATATAGTGTTCATATATATAGTTCAAAACTGACTGAACTGAAAAATATACGCGTGCATCTTTCATAAGCGTAAAGTGTATGCCGACGGCGCGTCAAATTTCCCTGCAAAAGGCAGCGGAGCAAAGCGGCAGCGAAAGCAAGGCGAGCAGAAAAAGTGAAAATCAGCCATTCAAGCGGCAATGGCTATCAGTGACCAGATTTGGCGCGGAAGCAAGCCCTAAATCGTCCCCGGACGGCGGCGCGCCCGTTAACAGCCTCGGCCCCGGATCGCGCGCCATGATCGCTCGATATCATCCTCTCTCTCTCTCTTTCTCTCCCTCTCTCTCTCTTTCTCTCTCGGCGCCGCAGCAACGCCACCGATTTCACGATGCATTCTTCGCGCCAAGTAATTCCCACGAGATGTGACTGCCCACCAAAAGCTCCTCGGCGATAATGGGCAAAGTCTCCTTCCTTCTCATTCGCCCTCCCATGCCTCTGTGTCTCTGCGTCTCTCTCTTTTCTTTCCTTCTCTCTTTCTCTCTCGCATGTCCCCCTCCTCTTCTTCCCCTTTATCCCCGCGCCCCGCCACATCTTAATCAAAGTCCCTCTCCCTTGCCTGAGAGCTTAGCAGTGGGAGGAGCTTATCGCCGAAGAGGAAGCTCCACCTCCTTTTTTAAAACCCTCGCCCCGCCTCCTTTCCTCTCGCCCTCCTCCCTCCCGCCTCTCCCTCACCTGGCCCTCCACATACACACCTCTTGCCTGAGGAAAGTCGATTGTATCTTTGTCTCCTCACACACACACACACACAGGCACACACACGCACACGGGGCCGGGAGAAAGAGAGAGTGAGCGAGGGAGAGAGAGAGAACCCGCGAGGGAGACTGTCGAAGACCGTGATTGCGAGCGGCCGGTCTCGCTGCTGTGTTGGACGCGTGTGTTTTCCCGCCGTCGACGCTGGACTGGTGGCGCTGAGAGACCGCGGGCCTAAAGTGCTTTTTGGATGGAGGAAACAGGAAGCGAAAGAAGGAAAGGAAAAGGGAAAACGTGAAGATGATTACCTGTGTTTGAGACTTCTATAAACTCGCTGGATTTTCTTCATCGAAAATGAAAGGAGAAGTTACAGTGTGAATTGATACAGAGTGAATGGATTATACAAAGTTCATTTTTGGTTCCTTGAAGAGATAGTGACTTTAGAAAAAAAAAAAACATAATTATAAGCGAATGACAATCAATAGCAATCACCTTCGTTGATCCGAACAATGAAATAAGGCCTTTTTCCCGCCGTAGGATGCTCTTCCCGGAGGCGCCGAGATCCCCGGCGGCGCAGGAGGCGTCTTGAGATGCCCGCGGCGTCCCCGCTGTTCCTCTGAGCCTATCTCGCCTCCCCGTTCCCCGCGCCGCCCAACGCACGCCCATGATGTCCGCGGAAGCCCGGGCGGCGTACGGCGACCCCGCCCGCGAGTGCCTCTGCCCGCCCGCCTCTCCGCCGCCCCCGCCGCCCGAGGGGAGGGAGGCCATGAGTGTGTCCATGGGCGGCGTCAGCAGCAGCAGCGGCGGCGGCAGCGGCGTGGGCGGGAGTGTGGGCAACCCTGGCCGCCCGCACTTCTCCATCAGCTCCATCCTGGGCCTCGACACTTCACAGAGACTCCGCCCACACGAACCTCAGAGCCCCCCGCCGCCCACGCCCTACACTCACGCCCACATCGTCAGACCTTCCTCGCCCGCGTACCACAAGAGAAGCCCTTCGCCGTCGCCACACTTCGCGCTCGCCAGAGAGGGGTCGGCGGATCACGCCCACACGAGGTCGCCCCCGCAGCGGGCGGCGTCGCCCGCCTACCCGCTGTACCTGGGCGAGGGGAGCCACGAGGCCTCGGCCGCCCACACCCCCGTCGAGCACCTCCACTCCGCCCACGACGCCCCTTACACGCCCACGGATGACGCCCTCCTGGACGACGACGAGGAGGACGACGCCGGCTCGGGGGAGGAGGACGAAGAGGGCGGCGGCGACCCCCCCGTGGGCGGCGGCGAGGACGTGGGTGGCGCGGAGGAGGCCCGCCCGCACGGCATCGACATCCACCACAACTCGGCCTTCGTCCGCCCGACGCCCCTGCATCTCCGGCCCGACGTCGAGGGCGTGGAGGCCGTCACGTCCCTCGGCGGGGGCGGGGGCGTGGCGGGCCCTCTGGGGGGCGGCCCTCTCAACCCCGCCGCCCACCTGCCCCCCCTGTGGTACCCCCCGTGGGTGGCCGCCTTCAAGCCCACCTTCGGACTGCAAG